ATACCGCACACTTGCACGAAGCACAAATATTGCCACGCAGGGGCAGGTGACTAGGCATAATCAGATACCCGTCAAAATGGTAACTCTGGGATATTCCTGGAGCAAGGTGCACAACACACACACACACAGAGCACCTCACCCATCTCTACAATTCCACCGTAAGCTTGGATGGGGGAACACGTGCTTGTACCATGCCTCTACCTTAAAGCAAAGATAACTGCCCTAATCATGCCCCTATCACCACGACAAAATGACAAGGCCGCAAAGTAAATGCAGTGTTTTTTGCCTGGTCTCACACTTTACCGACACAACATATTCCTGATAGGATCCTAGTTGTTGGGAGAGGTTACAAACAAGACCCTTTCCTTTGCAAAGTCCATGTCAAGCTATTGTCAAGCTCACCAGGCGTTCCCTGCTTGGTTCCTATCCTCGCCGCTTCCGAGCTCCTGAGCTCCCGGCACACGTTCGCTTTGCTGGCGTTTGCAGTGCCAAACCTCTCTGGCCAAATGCAGGGTCAGACTTCGGCCCTGCAAAAAGTTTGCTTGCTGATTGAAAGGGGGAATGATGGAGAATCGAAAAGGCAAATCAAACAACTTGCGATCGGTTCGATGGGTAGGGAATGAGACATGGAATGACCCCGAGAGAAACCTTCCCTGATTTTAATTTGTTTTTTTTCAGCATTGGCCACACTGGTCTTGGGGTTTGGCTCTTCGAAACTTGAAGTCTGGCTCTCTGCAAGGTCAAACCGTGCTTGCTGTAGCGGCCCCGCTGCAAAGAGTGCTTCATGAGCTTTTTGTGGGTTGAATTCGGAAAACCAACTTGATTTCAACCAAAGAGTTTAAGTCTAAAGATCCAACCTAATAGCAATCAAGTCGAATTATTGATGCTATCAGCACAAGTGGATGCCTTCATGAACCAGTCTCATTCGAGCTACTTCTGTTGTTGCTGCGCCTGCCTAAACGAGATATGCGGCAGCTGCCTTTCAGGCCAAATCATATACTAGGTCCTCCAGTAGAGAGGTTTGAATAAGGGTACCCAACTTTTTTCTGTTTCGTCTATTTTAGTAGGGGAACCCGCCTCGAGCTCCAATAAAGACAACACAAGTCAAAGAAGGCAAAAGTTGCATGTCATAGGAAGATTAGGGCTCCGCCGCGGGCTTTTTCGGCAGGAAATCTGAATTTTGAGAGTGCACCATGGCCCACAAGTCCAAACTGAACCCGCCAGCGTCCCTCTCAAAAATCAAACCAGCAAAGATGAACATTCAAACATATTCAACAAGGATTTGCCACAATCACACAGACACATTTACCAACAAACAGGGCGGACTCGGTTAGGGAGCCAGCATATCTGCAACAAACAATTTAAGTGACCCAGATAATTTGTAGTCTATTGGCGCTCCGCACCCAGTGACTTCAAATGTTTGGTGTATGGGATGGTGCTTCATTTCGACTCCGGATGTCCCATTCTAGTGGGAATCCCCATTCAGGGGAGGAGGGCTTGCATCTGCTCTGAAGCTAGCATGTGTCCCTCTGGGCCAACGCGCCCTGGCAAGCAGAAGCACTTCCTTAGGATCCGACATGTTCCGAGCTCTGGGAAATGAGCTGGCAGCACTTGCCACGCCAAAGGCCGAGGAAAGGGAAATGCCCTTGCAGGGGTTGCTGGACCTTCAAAAATTGCAACTTATTAGTTTATTGGCGGTTCCATTGTTGACACTGCCACTTTTGGAGGTTGCCAAAAAGGGACATGGAGGAAACCCTGTGTCGCCCGCCTTGGGTGGGAGGGGGTGTCTGTTTTCTCTCCATCTTGGGCCCTTTTTGGATGTTGTGAAGCCCCCTTTGGTGGTTTCCCTTTGCAGCAGGTGTGTAGAATTGCTTTCAATCGCCCGCTGGTTTTTGGCCCTCGGCAGCTACTTCCCTGCAAATTCGAAAGGAAACTCAGCGATTGCCGCAAGGTGCAACTTCAAGGGTAAAAAGTCAAAGTACTCTCCCAACATGGAAGTGCAGAGGCTTTCTTCCCGAGAGGAACATCGCCTTCCAAAAAGGGCTTGTGCGCTTCCATGTTTTGGTGGTGGGGTGCTTCAAACAAATCGAGGAACCTGAAGGATCATGGAGTCCTTCGAGAATGAGGCAGAAGTCGAGCAAAACTCCCTTAAGTGTTCACTTTCAGGTCCTATGACTCAATTTCAGGGGCTTCCCCTTTTGAGTCCATCAGCTGTTGTCATTCTACGGGGCCGACTTCTGAAGCACTTCATGGCACCGAACAGGGTTCCTGATATTCTCCCTCCTCTGAACATCACCCCATTATGGAGAAACATGATCCAACATGAAAGTCCACAACCAAAACCGGGCAATCACCCCCAGCAGGAAAAACACAAAAACAAAACATAACAACTGCCGCTAGCTGATTCTGCGCCGCGAGTGACTTCAGCCAAGCTGCCCTTGTTGGCAAACGCCGTTGCCGCTACACTCCGTGCCTGTCAAGGCCGGTGTCAACTCCCAGCCCCCCAAAGTGTCGGACAGCAGCTAGCAAAGTACGACCAGAAATGTCGCAAGGTGGCGCGCAGGAGGTAACCCGACTTCACCTGGACGATATTGAAGGATTCACCCTTGCAGAAGCCTCTGGCTGATAAAAGAGCAGAAACACAGAACCCACTTCAAGTAACCAATCACAGGCAACGGTGCACTTAAAGTACTGGCTCATCTCTTCGCTTGTCTCCACTGCCACTGTAGTCACAAGGGATTCTCAATCGCATTTGCTCATTGCGACATTGGTTGCAGGGGATGCCCGTTCCCATTCTAGTCAAATGCTGTGGGAACCGAAAGGAAACCAACCAATTTTTCACACTCTACTGTGGATTGAGCAAACCCTGTACCAGTTAGGTGGTTTATCCCAGGTTTGCACTAGGATTTCATCCATCCCAAGTGCATAACTTTTTTCGTACCTCCACACCAGTCTCCATGCCCAAAGCCTCGCCTCCCTCAGTGCCATCCCAATCAGCACCTGGCGCGTGGGCAAATCGCTTCTCGCCCAATCCAGCAAGGGACCCATGGTACACACCTGTGCTTCTCTGTTGCTTTTTTTAATCAACGAATTCATCCAGAGAGGACACATGGGCCTATGTCAAAACTAGGGAATGCATCTGAACGATAAATTGGCTTTTGGAGGTCTATATTAAACAAGCAGCCCTAAAGTACCCCTAGTTCATGTGCATAGATAAGTCAGGACATAGTCAACAGCATCGAAATGCAATGAAGCTCATACATAACGGCTCTCCCACTGGAGACACCCAACATTGTTGAATTGAGGGGCAGGGAAGAGGGAGGATTCCAACCCCCCACCTACCTTTTAAACAATATTCTGATTTCAGGGGGCAGCGGTGAGGATGAACGCGCAGTCTGTTCGAAAAAGGGGCAGCCGCTTTTGCCCTATCCTCTTTCCAACAATCATTCATGGAAGCGGACTGGAGACTTGTTTCAAAGGAGTCTTCCAAAAGCATGCTGGCATGCTGTCCGCTTCCATGATTGTTGGAAAGTGAGTGCTTGTCCCGCCTAGAAAGCGGTCCATGATTTCAGGGGGCAGTTTCCCACGAACTTCCCACGCCCGGCGCGCATGGAAAACCGCAAAGAGCTGAATCGCGGCCAAAGGGGCAATGCTTCTCCTCGCACCGCTCTCCGTGGAAGGGCGTAGTGCAGATGCAGGCGCCGACCTGGCGAATCGGTTTTTCTTTGTTTTCTTTTTTCTTTTCGATCCATCCAAATCGTTGGATTGGGAGCCCACTGGGCGGGTTTTCCTGTTGGGTTCAAGAATTGGGCTTGGGGTTTGGACCGTGTCTCAACATAGCAAAATACCAATTGGGGGGTTGCCTAGGTCCTCCAGTAGAGAGCTTAGAATAAGGGTACCCTTTTTCTGTAGTCTATTTTGGCAGGGGAACCCTCCCCCAAAAAAGAAACGGTGAGAAAGGGCACTACTGGGGGACCTAGTTGCATTCTGGGGCCAAGGCCCAGATCTGGCTGTGCCATGCAACACATGTGTCCCGCCTCATCGTTCCAGCGGCCATGGGGTGCGTTGCCTGAGCGCGCGAACTGGCCTGGATCAACTTGGGGGACTTGTCGCGACAAAATTTATCACAGTCCCACATTCCGAAGTCACGGTGAATCAGCGAAGTCAAAAGCTGAGTGACTCCAGCAGCATGTTGGGGGGTTCTGCGCCAGGGAAACTGAAAGGCTCAATAGCCAAATGGCAGTGGCTCAAATAAATGTACCAACATGGCACCTTGGTAAATGGAACCAAAGACTAACACCTGCGTAACCCTAGCTTTTGAATTTTGAGCCACACCTAAATAGGTCCAATGCCCATGCGACATATGCTGCTGCAAAAGATCAGCTTCTTCAAGCTCCCGAGGGGCAGAAGCCCGGTCAATCCTCTCCGATTTTCATTTTGCGTCGACAAGAAGGACGTCAAGACCGGCTGCTCACTTGCACGAAGGACATGGACATACAAAAGGGTCAACACCTTTTGGGAAACCAAAACAGGTTAAAACCGAAAGGTCGGATTCGGTCGCCACTGAGGCTGGGATACGGGGATGTAACCCTCCACCTCTCGAAGATGTTCGAGTCCCTCGCCCGCACCAACTGCTCAAGGCTGCAACGGTGCCTGTTCACAATGCGCATGGCGAAGACCCGCTGTCTTGGAATGAAGCTAGGGATCCCCTGACAAACTCGGAAACCACACAAATCATTGCTGAAACATGGGGACCTAGCAAGGGTCATACCCACATCCATGAGCAGGGAAATACCCAAATCAGGAGGATCCCTAGCAGGGATCTTTCATGGAAACCTGAATCCATTCATGGCTGTATGTTCGACAGCCTTGGAAGATGAAACATGTCACTTTGTAAGCTGCTGGTCGAGTGCAGCCGCTTTGCCACTCAAGAGGGTGTGGGAATTCCAACTCATTCCCTGAGAACCAGCCAGCCATGGCTACTCGAGGGCCACTGCGCGCTAGGGCTGCAGGCAGTCCGGTGCTTCGGGCAGGCCGCTGCGCGCCTACGTGGCGAGGGTCGCACCCAGCGCCGATTGTTAAGGGTCTCAAACGTCACATGAACCGAAGAACTCAGCTTCAGATGCCCAGTGGCCATGAGCAAGAAAGGCCACCCTTTTTTGGTTGATTGAGTTTGCAGGGGAACCTTACCAAAAACAGGGAAAAAGGGCACCACTGGGCAACAGAGCTTTTACAACAAGGAGACTCTTTTTGAAGGGTTATCTTTTTTTGAGAATTCGAAGCGTGGCATACTTGGCGGACCTCAGCAACAAAGAGCAAATGAACATTGCAGCCACAGGAATAACTGCATCAAAGCATGATAAAATGGTTGACTTCTCATGTTCGGCTTCTTTGCAAGCACCATCCAAACACCAATCCAAAAAGGGGAGTTCACCTTCCCGAGGAATGGTGCTACTTTTAGGAAACTGCGTTCGCAGAAAACAAAAACAACAAAAAACAAAAAGGACCCCAAATCATTTGCAGGTGTCCTTTTGGTTTCCCTTCAATCACCGTCCGTAGAAACGTCCTCCAATTTTAAGTTGCGGACACGCACCAAACTAGGGCGCCCAAAGGCGGGGTTCCCTTTTAAAGCCGAAGGGAGCATTCCTCAATTCTAGTTGACACACCTCCAGCGGACAAGGCGCATTGTTTCCTAAGCGGTGCATGTCCTCCCCAGCCATAGCTACCAATGATATTGTTTCGCTTTTTGTGGGTCCAATGGAACATCCGACCTGTTTCCCAGAAAGTTAAAGTCGAAAGATTCAACCAACGAGCCATAGAGGTAAGTACTGCAGCTCCTAAAGGACATATCGGGGTGTTGTTTCAAAGAAGGGCACTCTTGTTTTGGCCGTTTAGGGTTTAGGGTTTATGGTTTAGGGTTCAAAGGCAAACCCCTACACCCCCCACAAAACAAACAAAAGGCCCCACGGGTGTCTGGGGTCAACGTGAGGGCCTTCATCGCCATCAGGCCCAGGGCTTTCGGCTCGACCGCAGGCTGCGGCATGGCGTCTGCTGGCCTGTCAAACGGGCGGGCGGTACAAGTTGACGTCAGCCAGGCTCAAAATGTTCTTGATTTTCTTGTGGATGAAGACAAAATGGACAATGCGTTGTGGAATTCTTGTGGATGAAGACATTCCCACACCACTTGGTAGGTTTGTGCCAGTATTCATAGGGCTTCATCTATCCGAACTGGTGCAGGATGTGAGGTTGAAAGCCAAATCACTTTGTGTCGCTATGACGAATCACCCTTTCTGTGATACCAGCGTGGAGTTCCAATCGCCATGACTGCTGTATCACTTTAAGTGATTCGTGTGGTGTTACAGAAAGTGGCCAAGTGCCCAAACTCTACACGTTCCAAAATCGTGTCCTTCTGTGGGGCGATGCCTTTGCCCGGACAAAAACTCACCACGGAGTCACAGCCAAGCGCTCGGCACGCCGGAGATTTCCGGAGGCACCATGCCGCCAGAGGCATACCTGGCGGCCAAATGTTCGTGGCAAACACCCTCGCAGAGAGGCCTTCAGACTTCAAACGGGGGCTGAAAAACCGAAGGCCGATTTCTCGAGGGCTTTGAGAGGGAAGCTTCTCGAGTTTCATCCGCGTCATGATGCTGAGGACTGATCTTTCAACCTGGAGCTTGCAGAAACCAGTCTGAACCCTTGTGGTGGGCTTACCCTGGGGGCACTCAGCCAAACCAGGAGACTCTGTGTGCCATGGGCCATGAGTGCGGCCAACATAGACATGTCGACAGGAAATTTGCCAAAGAAGCAACATACCAATGATCATAAGTTTGGCCGATTCCTGGTATATTTTATAGATTTCCAGGGAAATAAGCTAGAATCTGGGATGGGTCCACCATTGTGTGTGCGTGTGTGGGTGTCTAGGCTGGTTGCTGGATAATTAGCCTTTTGTTGCTTGGGTTTGTTGCACAAGAGTTTGCCCAAAGGGCTCTACTCTGCAAGGGGACTTTATGTCCCCTTGAAACATCACCCGAAAAGAACACCTAGCCAAAATTGCACCAAATGGGTGATGTTCAAAACACCCAAGGGGGACATCTCAGAATCCTGCTTCAAGGGGCTTTTGGGACAACTCCTTGAAGGCTTTTGGGACCTGAAGGGCCCCACTGAACCAACCTCCAGTCTGCTCAACGAATCTGCGGCTCAGGCTCTCTCTCCGAATGCTGCAAAGGGAAACCACAGAAGACCAGAGGGAAATCAAGGGAAACCCAAAAGGAAACCCCCAAAAAACACCGTCGTAGTCTTGAGGCTTGGCCAGGTTGATTTCCAAGTCGAAGCTTTTCCACTTTGCTTCCATCTCCGCCGAGGGGCGCTTGGGCCGCCATGCCGGGCGGCAGGGGCGGGGGCACGTACTGCTGGCAGGCGACTCCCGCCCAGTTGGCTTGGCACCTGAAGGAAGGTGCGATAGGTGGTGAGTGAGACATGGAATGACGAGACTTGGCTGCTGCTGATCCCTCTGCAAAAAATGAATCACTTTTGGGGGGTTTAGTGGAAACCAACTTTAATTTCCCAGAAAGCTAAAGTGTAAAGATCCAACCCAATAGCAGTCAAGGCAACCGGGGGGAAAACCCACATCTAGGTCCTCCAGTAGAGAGGTTAGAATAAGGGTACCAACTTTTTTATGTAGTCTGTTTTAGTAGGGGAACCCTCCTACCAAAAAGGGGTGATAAAGGGCACTACTGGGGGACCTAGGAATGAGAAATGGAATGACCCCGGGTTCATTCCCTCATTCCCTGAGCACCAGCAAGACAGACTGATCAACGCCCCCTTGCTTGTTTGAAGGGCAATTCAAAGCACTGGCATTTTGCCATGTAAAAGGTAAAGGCCTGGCCTTTCAAACTTTGCACCGTGGGTCGAACGCAAACCAGGCTGAAGTGCCCCCAAAAACAACAATAACAATCAACATAAGATCAATCGTAATAGCAACACTAACAATAAGAATAAAAATAAAACGACGGTTCCTGTTCTGATAAGCTTTCAAGAGCAAGCGGGTGTAAAGAAATGGAACGCCTTGTCCCAGAAGCTTATTCCAGAATGAGCGGTTGCTTCGGCATCCCTTGACCTGACCAGTAAAGAATACAGAACGAGACGCAGGGTTGCTACAAGGGCAAATAGTTGACCAAAGGGAAACCACAGGACAGCAAACCAAGTTTCGACTCTGGTCATCTCTTCACTTGGAGCAACACTGAAATGGGTTCCACCTCAACATCGGGTCCAAAGCGAAGCTCCTTCCAGACCGATTCCCGCCTGCAAGTGCCCAGGAAGCAGGTCCCATGCCCTGAGCAATCCTCGAGTGCGTCTGAATGGCGGTGGGGATCGATGGTTGGGGAGGTGGGGGGGGGCTGTGGCGGGCTTTTTGGGGGGGTTGGGGCTTGGTACTGGCGAGGGGGGAGGTTTGGCGGGTTTGGGGGGGTTTGGGGGGGTTTGGGGGGGTTTCGGGGGGGGGGTTTGGGGTGGGGTTGGGGGCTTGGGTTTGGGTGGGTTGGGGGGGGTTGGGATACTGTGGGATGGACCAACTCCATGCACCAGGGAGGTGGTTTATCCCAATGTTCATAAACCTTCATCCGTACCAACCCAACTCAGACATTTGACTTGCCCATCCACAGTAGCACTTTCCAGATGATGAGTTGGGGTTTGCTGAAAAGTGGCCTCCCTTTAAAACCATCCAAACAGGGCAACAACAATCCAAAATAGAGGCTCCTTTTCTTTTGGACCCCCTTTTGGCCCCCCCACCCCCAATAAAACTAGGCTGGAATTAGGACCCCAGCAAAAACATATCTTTTTTGCTGGTTAGTGGAAAACAAAGGAAACCCCAGAAAAGCAAGAAAGCAAAAAGGGGAGCTAATTCTGGGGGAGAAAAGAAGTGGTCCAAGTTTGTCAACGCTCCTGTTCTTGTGACTGGCCCATACCTGGCGTATTTCGTTGCATCCATGGGTCCGCGTCGGGGCACTTCTTCTCGATCTCGCACTGCTCGCCCATCCACCCAGGGTGGCACTTGCAGGTGCCTACAGGGGGACCTGGGGTGCTTAGTGCTAAACCGACCCCCGGGTTTTGGCGAGTGACCCACTTTCGTAATGAATTGTTGGTCCACGTCGTCCCCTTCCATACCGTAGATGACAGCAACTGGGTGCAAAAATTCGGGTCCGAAAAGAAGCAAACAAACAAATCTTCAAACATCCTCTGCCGGTTGCCTTTACGGGAGATGTACCATATTATTTGCCTGCGCGACGGCAGAGCTTGCGGATCAATGAGCATTCCATGGATGCCGTTCACCGCTAAATACTCGATGACTAGGGCGTGTTCAGGGTGGTAGATTTCGCAGGGGATAAATGGCAGCTTCTCAAAATGGGGATTGGAACACCTGTTTCTTGTAGAGGGTACCTTCCTATGAAGGGGGTCCTGGTTTTGATCATGTTCCCCTTAAAGGGACCCCCTGTTACTTGGTGGGCGGGTAAATGGGCTCCCTCCAATCCAAACCACCAAGAGGGACGCCGAGGATTGAAGCAAGTTTCGGAAGAATGAAGCTCGGAGCCCCCTTTGCTTGGCATTTACAGAGAACCAAAAGAAAATATTTGTTGTTTGGATTGTTTGGTTCAAAATCCTATTTGGAGAACAGCGCATGCTGGAACTGTTTGTTTCTCTCGCCGCCAAGTTGTTGTTTGTGGTTCAAAGGCTTGAGTTATATGCTGGGTTGGGACTTGCTGGTTCTCTCCCCACCAAAAAACAGTTGAAACACTTTAAAAGGGGCTGGGATTGTGCCCTTTGGCGAATTAAAGGAAAACAACGCCTCAGGGTTGCTCACCCAGCGCAAAGGTCAAATGTTGCCCCTGGAAAGGAAAATTGCTCATCTGTTGGAGGTGCAGACTAACCACGGAGAAACAAACATCCCACAAACCGCGTGAACAACGGGGGGAGGGGGGGGGGGGAAACCCACCTTTTCGGAGGAAGGTTACCCTGTCCCCAAAAACAAGGAACCTCATAGGATCATAGACTTCAAGATGATTTTCCTGGGACCTCTCAGGTCCTACGTTTTTTTTTGTGGTAACTGGGACCCCACGGTTCCTCTGCCTGCCTGGGATGGGGCAGTCCCCGTGGCCGTTGCAGCACATGGAGAGGGAGCAGTCCACACCCCCGAAGCCGAAGAAGCAAATGCATTGGCCTCACCGCAAACGGAACATGCCCAAGGAATCTGAAGGCATCCGAAGGAATCTGAAGCAATCTGAAGGCATCTGAAGCAATCCGAAGGCATCTGAAGGCATCTGAAGGCATCTGAAGGAATCCGAACTCTCCCCTTGGATGTTTTGAACCAACATGGGTCTGCCCCGTAGGCTTTGATCGCCATCCCCAAGAAAGCGCCGATCGCGGATCGCGGATCGCGCCTCCGGTGCATGCGCCCTGGCCGCTGCAGGCACTGGGGCAGTGGTTCTCACAGGCGAGGCCCGTGTAGTTGGAGACGCACGTGCAGGTGCCGTCCAGCTCGCACCTGGACTGCTGGAATCCATAGGTGACCTTTTTGGAAAATATCCATCGATGGGTTTGGTAACTATTTCTAGCCAACCTAACCTAGAAAGGACACCTATGCTTGTGACTGCTTCGAAGTACCGAAGGGGGGTGCCTCGTAGCTGAAGGCACCTGAGCTTGACCTTTAGTGGATTTTCAGGCAAAAAAGGCTCGCCCATTTTTGGTCATGTTCAAAGCAAAATCCTTCCCCCCAAAGAAGAGAATAGGTCAAAATGGCATCGCCAAAGGTTTGGGTACCAACAATGCTTGAAGCATTTTTCGGGAAAAACAAATCGACAAGCTCGCCCATCTATTATATTTGCTGGTTCAAAGTGGGCTGTAAACCTTTAATATTGTATTTAGGCACCAGTCAGCATCAAATAAGGGCAACAGAACAGATAGTTCAAGTCATTAAACAAATCGGTCTTGAACACAGTCAGGTGTTCTCAGTCAACTGGCCAAACCACGTTTGATTGCTTTTGGCCTGAGATGACACTCATCGACAATCTGCTTATTCAGTTGGCCGACTTGGGTCGGAGTAACCGAAGGACCAACTGTGTTACCAAACACAACTTAGTCTTCAAATCCCCAAGCACGGCTCCAAGCTTTCGACCACTGCCACCCGAGGTGCCGCTCAAGCTGCCGCCTTCTAAAGGGGGGTACCAAAACGTCGCCAAATTTTCGTCCCAACTGCACGAGACAACCTCTTCCCCAGCTTCCCGCGAAGCGCCGCGAAGCGCCTGCCGCGCTGGTTGCAGTCCTGTGGGCAGCTCGGCGGCGCAATGCTCTGCACCTTCCGGGTGTCCAGCACAGGAGCCGCCGCCTGGTCAAAGAGCCACGAAGCTTCGACAAGCTGCAAATCAAGAAAAATATTCTCGAAAAGCCACACAAACGCGATTCCCACATATTGGGTAGACAACCAGCCATGAGCTTTCTTCAAGGACAAATAGGTATGGGCATGGGGTCTCAATGAAATTAGGTTGCAAGAAAAGATTGGTGGAATGTAGTGGGCCAGCAAACACCTTCACCAAAAGACTGGCATTTCCCGCTGCTTTGAGTCACACTAAAAACCTTGTCCTTTCTATTGGTCAAGCATATCCCATTTGCAGGACGTGCCACTAGGACAGGAAACATGTACATTCACGCCTAGAACTTCAACAGGGCAAAGTTGAACAAGACCGATTCAGCCTCGGCCATCATGTCTGTTCATATTTCATTCACGCACATCTTAATGTTGGGTATTGTTGCGTATTGTATTGGTTGACGTCTACGTCTATCGTGTCATGCTGGATGTTGCTGTGTGTTCAACAATCAGGAACTCTAATACTAGATACACATTGCTTACTCAAAATGTTATTGCAATTATGTGCTGATGTGTCTACAAGTAGTGTTGACATATCTCTTTCACCATCATCGTTCTATTTGTCATGTTCAAACTATTGATTGCTAAATGTTGTCGGTCTTAGCAGTTCAGTACCATTAGCTGACAGAGCTGACAGAGCTGACAGGTAGTTCTGGAAGAGAACAAACCTCTTGAAAAAGGCCAGGCATTCCCCCTTTTGCGGCATCGAAGAGCAACAATGGGCTAAGATCATAAAAGTAGCTCATTAGTCTTGGCATCATATCAACAGGACTCCCCTGTCAGGTTCTATGTTCATTGGTGGAAAGGGTAACCCTATCAAACATCCTTACGAATTTTGAGACCTAAACACGTTGAAGTCCAGAGCTCCACACCTCCGATGGAGGGTTCAATCACGCTTGAGGATCATCACACAATTAGCAATGAACTCTGCGATTGGTGGCACAAAACACACTGGCTATGTTTCAAGCACCTCAACCATGGAAACAACCTAAAACAGCAGCTCCGCTTGCCGTCCCTTTGGGTAAATCACACCCAATATGGTTGCTATTTCCTAAAAGCAGCAAAATGACCCAGCAGCCCACCCCCAAAAATAAGTAAATAAATGCTTTTCGGACACTTGGTTGGTGCAACGTGAACTCTGGATTTCGCAGTGATTCAAAGAGCTCCAACCCCTCCACTCGCCTCCGGCTCGGGACGGTGAGCCACCGGCACCGGCGCCGCCACCTCACGGGTCTCACAGCTCTCGCCGCGGAAGCCGCCGCTGCCTGGCGAACGAAGCTGTGGCGACAGAAGCGGGGGACATTCACGAGGGGTCTGTGGGCCCTCTAAGGACCCTTAAAGATAAGACCACCAAAGGAAGATATCAACTCCCCTGGTGAAACAAAATGGGTCAGGTCGGGGGGCTGAGTACCCTTCATTGCTCCAAGCTAATCCATATGGCTATGAAACCTAATAGGGGAATCACCTCAAAAGCGGTTGGTGGACATGAATCCCCACCGAAGTCTGATGTCCACCGTTTCGGGTCCCTAGTAAAAACCACACCTATACTTATACATCTAGCCGACTTAATAACGCGAATCAGTGGGAAGGCATTCAAAACGCGAAGTGGTTGCAAGTGCACTTTCCAGTACCCCAGAAGCGAAGAAACAGTTCAGGAGATCCACATCTCAACAGTCCTCCCTTGACTCTCCCAACAAAAAAATGCGTTTGGTCGAGCAAGGGATTTGGGAAGAAATTCGTGCGGCTCTCCAAATCCTGGGCCCCTCCTTCATGGAGCCTGGCCACAGGCCGGCTGCTCTTGGCGAAAGGGGCTGAACTTGGAACCGAATCTAAGCTGGATTTGCAACTGGGTAACTGGAGTTCTGGTGCGTCAGATGGGGACTCACTTTGGCCAAGGCGAGGTTGAAAGCAACTGCTGTTGCCTTCAACTGTTACATTTACCGTATTTCATGAACCTTAACATGCAAGTTGATGCCAAAAAAGGTCTAACATAAAGAAAGGAAACCTCTTGGCTCTCCAAACAGGCCGAGCTGCAAACGCAAGAGCCGCTGTCGCAGTATCCGTGGCCACTGCAGTCGTTCTTGCAGCGCGGAAACTCGCCTGGGAGGAGGCTCATTTGCAACCAGATTCGAACGGAATGCCCAAAGCCAAACAACCTCCTCATGGTGTCCTTGTGTTCCACGCTTCTAGGGGTTGTCAAAGCCAGAAAGTGGGATGGTTTCCCTTTAACCCACCACTCATGAATTTGATGGTGACAAAACTGTGTAGGGGTCCAGCGTTACACACCTGCACCGCGTGAGCCAACGGCTTTGCGGCCGCTAGGTCCTCCAGTAGAGAGGTTAGAATAAGGGTACCAACTTTTTCTGTTTCGTCTATTTTAGCAGGGGAACCGAATCTCCCACCCAAAAATGGGGTGAAAAGGGGCACCCTCTCGCTGGGGGACCTAGGCTGTGATCCCAGTCGCAGGCGGCACCGTAGAAGGCGGCGTTGCAGGCGCACTGCCCGTCCAAGCAGCTCCCCCGACCGCTGCAGTCCTTGCTGCACCGCACCTTCGACGCGTTCAAGCGGCGCGAAACGGAAAATGGGCAACACGAGTGCAGCTTCCCTCGTTGGTTGGTTTGGAGCCGAATCGGTGGTTGGCCACCAATCCAAAAAGCCAGTTAGAGGGAAGCTGAGAGTATGTGCCTAGGGCGGCCCCAGGAGTTGTCCTTGTGGCTTCCCTTCAAACCAACTCCAATCCGAAACAGGTGGATTTTGCGAAACAACTGAGCAAACAAACCCGGACTGGGTTTTGATCCAGCTTCATTTTTTGAAGCCAACCCCCCCCCAAAAAAAAACGAGAAACCCTGATTAAAAAAAAACAACAAAAAACGAGAACCACCCTCTCCCCCCCCCAGAACCACCCCCCACCCACCTCCAACCCACCCGGCCAAACCCGGCCGATGCGGTAGCTCCCCCTTGCTCCGAGGCGCTAGGTCGCAGGCCTCCCCGGCCCAGCCCTCCGCGCAGCGGCAGGCGCCCATGGAGCAGCTGCCGTGGCCTTCGACGCCGACGCGCGGACGGGGACGGGGCCACGGGTCCACGGGTCCACGGACTGCGAAACGAGCGCAGGCGAGAACCGGGGCGTTAAAAGGATGGCTTGCGGGTAAGTGGGGAACCACACCCTAAGGGTCCGATTCGACTGTTTTTGGGCCCTCCAAATGGGTTGTGACGTTGAGGGCCCTTGAGGGGTCGGGTTTTTTTCATTGGAGGGTCCGGGGGTCTGCATTGGAGGGGTCATGACCCTTCGGGTGGTGAGATAACCCGCTCAGAAGACTTATAACCATGGTAAGTGGGTAACAACCATGGTGAGATAACCTACAAAAGCCATGGCTATAAGTCTCCTAAGTGGGTTATAACCAGGCCTGCTGACCACTAGGGCTTGCTAAGTGATGAGTGCTTAGCTAGCTTCCTTTACAATATCCAGTAGCCAGTCTTTATTGACATCAGCTCTTTATGACATCGGCTCTTGGTGTGGTTTTGTCAAGAAAAAACTGGGCGGTTTTTTGTGTGCCTCAAGCGGATTGGCCAGAAGAAGTCCAAACTGTTGGTCGACCACTAAAACGGTCAAGCCCAAAACGGCAGGATCAACAAACCTAAAAACCAGCAATCACGGCAGTGAAGAATAGATAGCTGCCCTCGAAGGCGTTTGGATTGGACTCCGGAACCAAAATCCCAAACCACCACAACCACGGTCACTCAGCTTCCCTCGTTGTTGGGTGTTTTCAAGCCGAATCCGTGGGTTTGGCGGTTTAGAGGCTGGTTTCCCAACTAACCCTCTACAAGAACAAGGGGTTCAAGTCCCCCAACCTACCAAGGGTCACCTGATAAGCACTTGCTGGCCTGTGAAAACTGATCCCTTGCTAACAGTGACTACCTTTTAGCGCATTAAATTCGGAAACCCAACCACCAAACCAACTAAAACCAACCAACAATCTCAGGAACCGGATGGCTGGTCTAAATGGATCCAACCTCATCTCAGGTCCTTTGGACGCCGACAGCGGTTCGATTCGATCCATTTTTGCTGGGCGAATCATAACATATGTCACCTGAAATAAGGTGGTTTGGGGGGGCTATTCTTTTCCCCACATAAACAACACCATTTGGGGCGAGGGTCGCTATAATTCGCCCAGATGTCCGCGCTTAAAAAAAAAAAAAAAAAAAACACAAAAAAAGAAAAAAACACCAAGGCGCCGGAGCAGTCGTTGACGCAGGCGCCCGGCTCCAGCTTTTGAGGCTTCAGGGCCGAGGCATTGGGCCCTGAGCGTGACGTTTCCCAAACGAAACGCACGGCCCAAACGGACCCCCCGGATCTTCGGCGGCTGGCGATTTTATTTTTTATTTTATTTTTTCCGGCAGTCTTCCTCTTTCCTTTTTTGTTTTGTTTTGTTGTTTTTCTTTTTCTTTTTTCCGGTTTGGTTGGGCTGGAAACTGAAAAGGGTGGCCTCAAAAAGCCAGACAGAAAAACAGACATGCCTGAACGCGAGCCCAAACAAAAATGGAACTCGCCAAGCATAATTGTGGGTCGCAATGATCCATGGTTAAGTTGGAATTTGGAGGGTCCAGGTGCACACACCATTCTTCATGGATGAGGTGGCAAGGCCCTTGCTGAGATCGCTGGTTTGTTCTTGCTGAAGCGGGACATGATGTTCAGCTCCACATAAAAGGGAACTCATCAGATGGTAATTGCATCTTTTGTGCTGTGGGAACCACATCCAAAACCACACTCCAAACGAAGGAAGCCTTTGAGATTTTGAGATACCCTGAATTGGGCCGCATTCATGTGGAGGTTCCCAGTGCGGAGCTTTCCTCGAGTGCGCTTTGAGGGTGAATAGGCAAAATAACGTTGAACTTTAACTAGGTCCTCCACTAGCGAGGCTAGAATAAGGGTACCCTTTTGTCTGTAGTCTATTTTAGTAGGGGGGACCCTCCCCCAAAAAAGGGTAAAGGGGTACTACTGGGGGACCTACTCAAGTTCCCCTTTGTCAATTCCTCTTGGCCACCTTCCTTGGGCGGACCAAGTGGAAAGTGGCGTAAGACCATTCGCGGATGGGCTTTCCGTTGAGATTCACGAACGTGACTCCCAGTTTAACGGTGCTTGACTTATGTCCCAATGACTATGCTTTTGGGTTTTGTTGGGGGTCCCACGTCATCCCCTTTACATTAGTCGGTAAGCCAATCCCTTGTTCAACCAGGGAACCCCGTCGTTGAATCATTTCCTGTTTCTCAACCACACACGCTCCAGGTACTTCGGCCACATGAGGCAAACTTACGTCCTTTCGGGCTCAAGAACCGCTTGTGCCTCTTTTTTTTCCCCCGGTTCCCCTGAAAGAGTCCAACATAAGGGCTTTCAGTTGACCCATGCGAGACGGTGTGGCCAAGTTCAACATGTTCTTTCGCATCTTGGAGCACTTGAGCATCCCTGATAACGACAGCGCCCTCATCTCCCACCCCACAAAATCCAGTTCCCCGAGGCCAGGAGTCTCAAGCAACACCCACCAAAGAAACGAAAACAACCGATGACCGGCATCTCCAAAGAAAAACGACGACGGCTACATCGATCAAGGGCAACTGGACCAGGGGCAACTGGGTGACCTTAACCAGAGGCCAAAGGCCGCCGACCCGAGGCCAAAGGCCGGCCCCGCCCGCCTGCTGTGGTGGTGAAGTGTTTCAAGGGATCCAAGGGGTGCATGTAGCGGCTGATGCTGTCCATCAGTCCTGGCGATGGGTCATGATTTATGAGATGGGGGGGGGGGTGCTTTTCAGGGACCTAGTTTTTGTGGCTTTAAAGGGAATGCAAAGGAAACCACCTTGTGTGTGTGTGTGTGTGTTTTTTTGTTGGGGGGGGGGGTCCCCTAAAAAAGACATACCCATATTGTCCAAACCTTTCCCACCCATTTGCCGGAAGGCTGCCACATTTGATCCTGCCCCTTGACAACAGCGCAACACCCTCTAGCAAAAAGAACAGAGCAAACAAAAAACTGAACACGGCAAAGACTCTTTGAGCAAACTGAAGAACGTCATTTTGGCTTGATTGGTTTTGACATGCCCGAAAAGCTTGTGTAAAGAAACATATGCCAAGAACAGCAAAGTGTATTTTTTCCGTTGGTTTCCTCACTTCCTGACAGGATTGGCCAAACCAAGTCCAAACTTTCTCTTTACCCCTAAAATGGTCCAAACCAAAAAAAACGTCTCTGCAGTCCCTCAACTCGAGAAGTGTCGCCGCACGAGGCTGGCGCGGGCGCGCCTTGCGCCTCGCGCAGGGGCGAGTCTTGCAGGATGGTCTCCTCCGCCAGAGCCGCCCGCCCGGAGGCCTAGCGCAATCCAGCGGGGCTCAGCATCTTCGAGTAGCCCCAAAGAAACGAAACAAAGCAAGGCCGAAGGTGAAGTGAGGACAAGTAAGGTGAAAGAAGGCTAATATGATAGTTGAAACTAAAGTGAAAGAAGGACAAGGACAAACAAGGTAAGATGAGGTCAGCTTAGGTCAACAAGACGAAAAAAAGGTCAGGCCAAATTTGATTCGTCAAACAAGCCTACCTTTATAGTAAAATAAGGTCAAGTTTCAACTAAGGTAAAGTAAGGTCAAGCAAAAGGTCAAATAAGGTCGAATAAGGTCAAATAAGGTCAAATAAGGTCAAGTAAGGTCAAGTATTTGAGAGTTAAAGTCTTTAGATGCCCACTCAAAACTCCAGCATGCCACTGGGGCATTGCGGGTTCCTACATCTTTCTCCCCCCAACAAGCAACCCAACGCTCTCTTCTTCTCTGCCATTCCCAACGCACTCAAAGGTATTGAAACACACAGATGCAGGAAAATAGCGGGAGCTGAAGATCCTGCTCACCAACTGCAAAGCTGTGCTTTTGCATAGGTTAAAGCCCTCACGAGAAATGCCATCAATTGCTCTTCGACTGCACCCATTGAAAATAAATCATGTTGCATATTCCTCAACCCCAGCTTATGAATAGGGGGTGTCCCTGGGTTGTGGGGAATCATCCCCTATGAACTGGCCTCATCCCTATGAACTGGGCGCATCTCTTTACCATGGTCAAAGTCACCCCCTAAGTCTGGCCCTAAGTGGTGGGGTAAAGGGCCAAGGGAAACAACCTGTTCTGACTTTGATAAACCCAGAAACCGTCAAAATAACGACCCCAAATGAATGAGCCGGGGTTGATTAATATGGAGGCAACGTTAGGGCAGCGGAGGCCAAAGATGGGCGCCGTGGCTTTCGCAAGCTGAAGTCCGTCCAGGCCCCTCAGAATAAGGCATACCCAAATGCAAAATCAGGGGGTTCTTTGTGGTACTCCGTCCTAGGATTGGCGCCATAATGCGGCACCAGGCTCCAAGGAGCCATACATTCGTGATAACCCCAACTAAGTGTTTTTGAGGGCACCCTTTCTGTGGGGTGGTCTTGAAGGCAACCAAAAGGACGTCCCACTCCCTCCAGATGTTTTTGGGTCCGCGATTCGAAGACACCCCGCCTCCGACTCCTTCACAGCCGCCGCGCTCAGCAGCGCTGTGTGGGAAGCCTCCGTGCGCAGGCAGAAGTTTTCCACGCCGCTTGGGGGGGTTTTCGTGGACCCACAAACTGGTCGAAGCAACCAAATACCATGAAATATATGTAGAAAGTTGGCGCGACCAACTTCCTGTCGATTCTTTTCTGCTGGTTTCTCTGACTCTAAGGTGGCATGCTGGCGGATGGGACAAACAGGGGAGTCGGAGAGCCGCAACCAAACCAGTTTGCAGTGGGGTTGCAGCAAACTTCTCCAAAGGGATACTTGTCTGTGAGCCGGGTACCAGGGCCCTTTGATTTATGCAAATCTTGAACATTGATCGGCTCTTCACCTTGAGCTTCGTATATTTGCAGCTCCCAACACCTGCATGTGTCAAATCAAACGACCACACTCCTGCACAATACAGAATACTTGTTTTCTTCAGCGTATTGTGTACATATATTGTTTATATTAAAAAAAAAACATGTTGTAAAGTGTTGTGTCTGAACTGGTGAAATGCCTGCGTGGGAATTGTAATTGCCAACGACATAGACAAATAACAAACCGGCAAATAGATGGTCCCCTATAGGCGAGCTGTATGTATGTGATTTATCTTATAACTAAAAAAATACAGCCATTCAATGTATACCTAACTCCTTGCCTTTGACTGTTGGTCGGAAAGTGTATCTATACTATATGCACAATGTACACATATACACATAACATGGCCATGAAACTGCAACGTTTGACCGGACCCATCCACACAGGGAAATTCAAGGACCTCTCTATGCATCTTTCTCTATCTATCGACAGGTTTCTGTGAATCGCCAACTTTTGTGATACCACTCTCAAAAGTCTTCACTTACAGGGTGAGGCTTGAGGTTTCCTCGTTTTAATTCCCGTAGAAACTACAAACATATAGTTGATGAACGCATGACTTTATATTGGACACTGACATAGCCTTTAAGTTGTCCTTCTTTGGCAATTAGTGGGCGCAGATCTTCTGGGATCGCTCAGCGATACCCCGACTGTTTGCCAGGAAAACCGTGGCAGTGCAATGTCAAAACGCTCGGCCCTCGGCCCTCTGACGAAGTGACCTTTCTAGCTTAAAGCTTGACTGAGCTGCTTTTTCCCAAACACGTGGTTGCCAAACCACAGCCATGGACAATTCCTCCAACTTCCCAAGGACAAAACATCTGTTGGAGGACAAAAAAACACATCCCAAAAAACCCAAGGACAACAAGTCTATCAAAGGACCTTCATGGCTCACTGGGTTTCCCCCAAATCCGAGAGCTCGTTCATTCGCCTGGATGGCCTCCTTGAGGCTGCGCACTGCCAAGGGCGGCAGCTCCTCTCGAAGGAGCCCAGGCAAAATGGGGGGGTCCGGGTCTGCTTGGACGTCTACTCATCCCAAAAACGATATGTGGGTATGGGTCCAAATTAAACCACCACACAAAATAAAATAAAATCCATGTTTCCAGGAATTCCACACACCAGGGTTCCATTTTGGGCACCTAGTTTTGAGCCACAGCCACGTAAGTGTTCCATAAGTTCCAAGTGAATGGGAGTTCCGTGCGTCAACATCTCTGGGACTTGTTTTTGGGGAACTGACGAGGAAGTCCATTGGAGCAACTTTTTCTGTAGTCTATTTTAGGGGGACCGGGACCCTCCCAACCAAAAAAGCGTAGGACACTGGGGGACCTAGAAACATGCCACGAACGTGGCTCCTTAAGCAAATGGCAGTTGGAAGTGGGGCCGAAGGAGAGAGGCGCCAAGACCCCAAGGTGCGCCACCAAAAGCCATTCGATTCGGTAGCTGAGTAGGGCAACCAAAATCGATTCGGATAGCTGCTAAGTAGGGCAGGAAACAGTCCCAAGCTGGAATTGGATCAGCCGTGCTTGTGGTTTCTGACAGTTGCCTGGTTTTGAGTGTTGACACATACAATTTGGATATATATGTACATGTATAACTTTGAATACATACGTATGTCTAAGTGTATGAGTATGTGTATAAGTATGCGTATGTGTAAACGTAGCAAGGTAGGTAGCTAGCTGAACGGGTGGGTGGGTGGGTGGGTGGGTGGGTGGGGTGGGGTGGGGTGGGGTGGTGTGGGGTGGGGTGGGGTGGGTGGGGTGGGTGGGTGGGGTGGGTGGGCGGGCGGGCGGGCGGGTGGGTGGGTGGGTTGGGGTTGTTGGTAGTTTGGTTGCTAAGCAGGTGGGTGGGTGGGAAGTGGCTGACTGACTGACTGACTGACTGACTGACTGACTGACTGACTGACTGACTGACTGACTGTCTGACTGACTGACTGACTGGCTAACTGGCTGCCTGGCTGGCTCGCTCTTCAACAAACAAATACTCTGTTTTCCAACAACATGAGCACGCACGGAAGGGATTTGGAGAACCGCCATGACCACGATCATCTTATGAAATCTAATGGGTTTCCTTTCCATTTCAAGAAAGAGCACCCATTAGATGACCTGTGGGCTTCAGTCGCAGCGTGGAGGCAAAGCTCTCCGCGCGAGCTCCTCGACATGACGGACCGTCAAAGCTGACCATTTCGAACCTTCCCAGAAGTCCGTCTTGAGACATGCCCATATATATATATATACATATATATACATATATGTATATGTCTACACAGAATATATATTTAACAACCATAACCACAACATGCCCTCCTTTCCAACGGCGTCCCCCGAAAACAGCGTTCCGCCGCCCGCCCGCGGCCGTCCTCGGCGTTGGGCGTCTTGACGAAGGCGGCGACCCGCCGGGCGCGCTCCGCCGCCAGGTCCAGCGCCGTGGCCGGCTCCGGCGAGGCCAACGCCTGGCACCGAGAGCCCGGAACTCGCTCCGGCGGCCTGGAGTCTCCTTCTGACCCTTTGAAAGATGGGGTTACCCAAAATCAAGGGGTCATGGACCCATTTTTATTTCGGGTCAGAGAGACTCGTATAAACCATCCCCGATTTGGTTTCCTTCAAAACAATCCCCATTCATTCCCGCATTCCTGTTGAGCACCAGCAAGAAATGGGTCGACGTCTCTTTTTGTAGCTTTCAAGGGAACCGAAAAGGCACAACTTTGGGTGCGGTCTTTTTTTGGGGGAACCAACCTTGCTGGTAAACATGGGTCGATGTCTCTCTTTTTTTCCTGGGTCTCGGTAAAGGATTGCCATTGGATTGGCCGTTGGATTGTTCAGAAGTGCTGGAACTTTTGGGCGGCTCGGACTTTTCTCGGGTTGGTACCATCTTTGGTGCTTTAAGGGGAAACCCAAAGCGCCAATGTTGAGTGTTTTTTGGGTTGGTACCAACCTTTTTGGTGATGGGAAGCCAAAAGAAACATCGTTGCGCCATTTTGGGGCTCCAAATCCTAAAAAAAGACACGGCCCCAAATTCTCCCAGCTTGGCCCCAGTCAAAGTCAAAGAAAACCAGGAACTGCAAATTTGAATCAGTAAAGATTTATCACTTCACTCCCAGGATTTGTTCATTCCAATCCTAATGTTCTTCCTTTCCAAGTGACTTCCTGGAGTCTCCATGACCCTTTAAAAATGGGTCCACGACCCCTTTATTTCGGGTAATGACCCCATCTTTCAAGGGTCATGGAGACTCCAGGATGCAAAGGTAAGTTGGTTGCACCAACAAGTGACCTGCAAAGTTTCGGCTTCTTTCGCTTCGACAGAGATGTGACGGCTTCCGCTTCCTTTGCTTCGACTTGGCGAGTTCTCGGGTTGCCAGCCTCAGCCGACGCCTTGGCGCGAGCTAGAGCGCCCAGGACGTCCGGGGAGGCCTGCACCTCGTCGTTCGGGCTACGTCTTTGAGCCCGTTGGACATTGAGCTCACTTTCTGAGTGGATTTTGTTGGGCCGAAGAGAGGAGCTTTTGGGCAAGAGACAAATGTCTATGTATAATATATTGTCTATATAATTACATGTTTGCGTAGCACTAGCATGGTGGGGGAAAGAAAGGGAGAGAGAGGGAGAACAAATGACCCAAAATTAACTTTAGAGGTGCTGCTTGTTACAAGTCAAAAGCCCAAAGACCTTCGTCGAATTAAATGGCCGTCGCTCAAAACATGGAAACCCAAAATGGAACCCTGGTAAGTGGAAACAAAGACCAAAACATGGGTAACCCGAGCTGCTTAATTTTGAGCCACACCCACATGGGAAAGCCACCCCAACCTCCAAAACCACCCGCCCATACTGTTGCACGAAATCCGTTCGCACCACTTTGAAGCCAAAGTAGAAAATATTGTTTGTTGGCAGTTACAAGGGCATCCTCAGAAACCAGGGTTTCTTAGCCTGGAGCGAAATTGATTTCGCAACCATCCACCTCCTTGGCCAGCGCTTGGCACGCGTCCCCGGAGAAGCCCGCGGCGCAAACGCACTTCCCAGCGACGCAGCGGCCATTAGGCTCCACGCCTGTCACCCCGCCGGATAAAACGAGGAATTTGGGTTGTTTACAAGTGGCTTGGCCCAAGAACAAGTCCAATTGGGCTAGTAAGCCACCTACAACCCTCCTGTTTATGTAAACACGATCCTCAAGCAGACCCCTTCTAACTTTGGATGTAGATCCCTTGCACAAACAACCAACAAAGCGAGCTGGAGCTGGGCAATGAGTTTGAATGGTGCGAACCAGCTCCAATTATCGAAGCAACGGACCTCTCCGACTGAGTGTCATCGACTTGGCTTTGTTTAGCTCATATCGTGAGCCCTGAGCTGACAACATCCTTCCCGTGCACAGCTTGGAAAATAACCTTGCGTTCTAGCGCCGTCAACTCACACAAGGCCCCTGCTGGGCGGTGGCTGCCTGGTTTCATTGGTATTCATTTCCGCTCTGCCCCCATAGGTGAGCCGGGAAATCTTCACACCTCTTGTGGTTTCCTTCAAAGCGGAAGTCGACAATTCTCAGGTTTGTCGGAAATGGAATCCACCGTGATTTTCATGGAAGGCCTTCTAAACGACCAATCTGATATCTAAAGATAAGGAAGACCTTCATTCGAATGGCCAATGCTGCACTTCAAGGGAAGGGTACCAGCTCCTGCTTGCCATCGAGACTCCAGGGACTCACACGCTCCACACCTCACATCCAAACCTCTACTGTCTTTATCTCGGCGGACCCCGCCCACCGGATTCAAAGTCACATCCGCAAAGTTCCCCTCCCAACGGTAGGAAAAACGTCCCCTTGAGTCAACCTTGAGCCTCCAAGGCACAACCTGGGATCTGGACAGGGCTTTCCCCAAAAGACGACCCACTGCTCAGAGCCCAACAAACTCAAAGTCCCAGTTGGCTGTGGGTCAAGCATTGGTACCCAAAATGGAACCCTCTTGTAAATGGAACCGAGGACAAAAGCCTGCGGTCCCCTGCTGGTTTAATTTTGACCCAACTCCCAGTTCAGCCCAGCGGCAGGCTGGTGAGCAGGCCGCTTCAAAGTAATGCAGCAGCCCGCCAATCTGCGCGTGAGCGAGGATTGGTTTCTCTCAGGTCATTGGACTCCCTTCACGCCGTGTTTTTTTTTTCAGCTCAGAGAAAACAAATTCTTCTCTAACATGTGTCAATGGTTTTGCTTCTGGTCGTACTAACCAAGGAGATGAACAAGACAACTGCACGTTGCCTCAAAACTGATACAGTCACAAAGGTGAACCTGGGTCTGGTTTCATGTGCATTGAGGACTCTGATCTACCAATCTCAACTGGCAATATCTCAGAAACTCCTGCAAGAAGAGGGAGCTCCAAGCATCCAAATCTGCCACAAGGCGTAAGGCATATTCTGGCTTTTCACCTTCACCCTTCCTCTGAACCTAGAGTCAGGCTGCCACTCACCGAAAGTGGAAAACCTAACGTGCCCCGAATTTTCCCCAACCATTTGAGGGGGGGGGGGGGGGAAGGGGCTACTGTGGATGCCCAAATCAAAATATTGATAGGTAAACCAAGCATACCACAAAACCCGGGTAGATTTGGGCTAAATGAGGCGTGTTCCTGGTGCCGATCCATTTCCCGGAGTTGGTTTGAAAACATCCGCGTTTCGGACATGCGTACTTTCCGCCTGCAACATGGGCTGCTAAAAACAGAGGCTTGGCCTCAAGTTGGCCAATCCGAATATATATACAGAAATATATATTAACATATAGGTTATTCCTTTAAAAAAAAGGAAGCCACTACAAAGGGGACCAAATCCTTGCATACTGCAAGGTTCTAGGGGCTGATTCCCCATTAAACCATGGTTCTTGCCGAAAACCGGATCCGTTTTCCCTGGGTTTCCGGAGGTTGTCTAGAAAGAAGGATCCCTGGAAAGAACGGAAATGGAAGGTGCCCCTAGAAAGCTAAGGAAAAATAACCCAGCCCAGGCAAAATGGGGGGGGGACATTTAGGATGAAGAGTTATCTTTGAGCAGTCGCAGATATTACTTACCGGAAAAGTAGATGGCCCTGCTCCATACAGCTTCCACATTTTGTACAGCTTCCACATTCCATCGGGCAAAATGGGGATAACCATTTCCATCGGCTCGTTGAGGCTCTGGCTGGGCTCCATTTCACTTTCGCGGAAGAGGCGGCCACCTGAGCCAGAAGCCAGCCGCTGCCGGGGAGCCGGCCAAGGAACCGCCTGTAATTGCTATGGATAAAACCGTAGTAGCAGGGTATATTGTGAATACGTATAATATATATTGTGAATACGTAGGGTATATGGATAAAACAAAAAAATCCAAATATACCGCGTAGAATATACATTGTGAACTGCCTGTATGTGAGTGAAAGTATCGCAGACATTTGGCTCCCCGTGCTTCGCCTGTTTTCTCCCATGGGATTCATCCCATTGGAAGGCTCTGCGCTTGTAAAATGCCGGGGGAACTGGATGCAGCCGCTGAGGGCCGCGGGGTGGCGGATGCAAACAATAATGGTAAATAAAGAACATATTCCCATAAGTGTAAATAATTCCGCAGAAAAAAAAAAAAAAAACACAAAAACACGCGGTAGAGACATTTCTATAAGGGATCCCCAAAGGACCTTTCTCATGGCTTCTGCTGGATATGCTCTTGTTGAGCTCGCTATAGAATAGCCGGAGCCATGGAACGGGCTCTTGTTGATTTGGGCACAAACTACTCATCGGGGCCTGGTAAAGATGTGTCTAGCTCGAGGCTCCGGGCAATGCAGGCGGCCAAGCACCTGAAGGAGTTTCAGGTTGACACAATTTGGCTGTTGTCAAAACCGTTTTGGGATCCCATTTCGGTTGGTAAGTGAATTCACCACCCATTTTAGAACCTATTTTAGCGGGGATTGGGATGCCCGCTGGGGGCACGGGACCCCGACCCATGAATTTCCGTGCGCCTTGTTTCGAGTTGCCAAAATGGTCTTCCCCTTGGCTTTCCATTTTAGAAAACCCGGCCAAACAGGATCCACTGACGTGTCCAAGGCTGGATTGAAAAGCGGCGGATGGCATGACCTGTTGAAACCTTTGGGGAAGGCGTCTAAAGGTGTAAAAAATCCGTTGCAGGTACTGCATAAGCTGCTCGTTCAAAGGAACAAGGGTGACATGTACCATGACTCACCGGCTTTCGGTTTCTCGCAACGGACGAACGCCTTCCGGCGCGGCAAACATGTTGGCGGAAAAGGCGTGACAAACGGGTATCATGGTGGGAATACCAACAATGAATAGAACTGGCTTCTGCACATTTCTCCCCTAGCATCATCCCACCAAAAGGAAACTCACTTCAAAAGGGAAACACTTCCATTTGGTTAAGGCCCCAGGCAAAAACACAAGTCAGTAGTGATGAATTCCTTTTACAACCAACAAGGGAAAATAATAAGTATTCTTTAGCAATTGGAGGAGCATGAACACCCTGAGCTGCATTTTTCCAAGCTGGTGCACGGAGGACTACTTCAGGGGCCCTGCCTTGCACCTGTCCAACTGCTCGCCCCCAAAAGCACTGGCTTCCAAGGCATATGGCTGTGGTTGTCAAAACCAAATGGTACCATTTTGGGGTAGGTGCACCACCAATTTTAGTCTATTTTAGTGGGGATTGGGATGTTCACTGGGGGTACGGGCTTTTGACCCATGGCCATATTGATATTGAGGCCAAGCAAGGTAAACGGATGGTTTGCGGGCCGGACAAAAAGCGCAGGGGACAGAACACGCGGGTAAATCGGGAAGCCGGGGTTGCAGGGTTTCGGAGGTATGCAAATGAAAGACTCGAGCAACCTCACCTCACCTCACCTCACCTCACCTCAGCTCAGCTCAGCTCACCTCACCTCACTCACTCTCACACTCACTCTCACTCGCACTCTCACACTCACTCTCACCCTCCCTCTCTCTCTCACTCTCACACCCACTTTCACACTGTCTCTCTCTCTCTCTGTCTCTCTCTGGCTCTGTCACTCTGTCACTCTCTCACTCTCACTCTCACTCTCACACCCACTTTCACACTGTCTCTCTCTCTCTCTCTCTCGCTCTGTCACTCTGTCACTCTCTCACTCTCTTTCTCCCTCTGTCACTCTGTCACTCTCTCACTCTCTTTCTCACTCTCTCTCTCTCACTCTCTCTTTCTCACTCTCTCACTCTCTCTCTCTCTCGCTCTCTCTCTCTCTCTCTCTGTCTCACTCACTCGCTTGCTCACGCACCCACGCACTCACTCACTCTCTCACTCTCTCACTCTCGTCACGCTCACCACACCCAAGCAAACCAAGCCATTTCCAGATGAAAGAGCAACCAGGGAGAGAGTCTGCAGCCGAGGCACACCTGCCGTAGATGCCATCCTGGCTCCGACAGATTTCAGCGCCTGTTGGGGCCTGCCTCCATGGCAAGCTTTCATAAAATGTCAACACCTGTGCAAATTCACGTGGAACCAAAAACGGGGTCCCTCAAAAAGGATAGATTGTTTGGGTTCCATGCGAATCTGCGGGGCAGTATAGCAAAGACGATCGCGCTGTGCACAGCCTAGCCCACTAACAGGTCAGATCACCTTTTCGGTCATGACTCAAACAAAGCACTGGGGATTTGCGGGACCGGCTTTAGATCAGGAGCCGTTTTCGGATCTCGCCCTTTGCATCCCCATGTCCGGCTTCTCAAGCTCCCGAGCTCTCAGTTTCTCAAGCTCCCGAGCTCTCAGATCACGGTGGCTGGATTGGCCTTTGACCCCCCTGACCGCTTAACTTTTCCGGTGAGTGGTTGGACACAATCAGTTTGAGAAAGGGCTTATGCTTAAAGGTCACACCAAAGAGCAGAACGCTCTTCAGCGAGAAGCATGTCAAATCCGGGGATGTATCCAACACATACTTCGTCTAGCATGAACCGTTGCTTCCTTCACACCCACGCTGGCTCCAGTTGAACACGAATGAGCATGCCCAGTACCCATTGACTTTTAGTTCTACCCAAAAGAAAAAACAAGGTGTGCCTGGCGCCCTGTTCATAAGCCACGGCAGCAGAACTTGTGCTGAAATGCCAACGGCATGCTCTCGCCGGGCGCGAGCTCAATAATGGGACCTCAAATTGCCAACCGTTTGGATGTTCGGCAATCAGACAAGCAGGTTGTAACCCACTAGCAGATTTAATTCCACTTAGGGGGACTAAGTGGGTTGTAACCTTGCTCACTTACTAACTTGGCTGAATGGATACATGCCAGGTTGAGTAATCCTCTGACATTAGGTTGGTCTTTGACGACCAAAACGTGAAGCGTGTTGCTAGTTAGTGGAGAAACAATGCATAGCATGCTTGAATGGTTGCAGGGTTAAGGTCAAATCACGGAGCAGCCGATAATTTGCTGCCAGCAAGTTCTTGACTTAGGGAAACACATACTGCTGGCCCCGGACTACACCTGTCCTATTTTTAGGGGGGTGTTCCCTCCAGTGAATCCCCATGAACCGAGGACACCCCCCAATTCATCAATCAGGGGTTTAATCTGGGGTCAACATTTGGCTGTGGCTCAAAAAACCGGTACCACAATGGCACCTTGGCAAATGGAACCAAGGGCAACAACCCGCGGTTGGCCCCGGCTCTTTAATTTTGAGCCATACCCATTTCTATCCTAACAAAACCCAAGTATACGTCCGTGGGACATCCCACATCCCGTGCCAAACAGATCCAAGCCCCGCCTCGCGGCTTCATTGACCGTTTGGGGGGCGCCGGGGGGCCCCGGCAGCTCTGCCATTCGAGCCGCGGACACGGCGAGGCTTGGCCGATCTCCCATGGTCAGGCGCCGAATGCTTTTACACAACGGGTCCTGCGTCAGTGCCATCGCATCTGTCGGTCAAAGGAACCAGTAGAAGTTGTGCAGTTCTGAAGCTTTGCAGGATGTCTTTTCGGCTGTATGTTACCTTGCGCTACTCAATCACAGCTGTGGGATTGAGGCCAACAACTGTGATGATTCAAGAACATGTCACCACTCCACACTAAAGTAATGCTGACCCAAATACCTCGGGATGAACCTGGATTTAACATTACCGATGGCAGGTGGATTTATTTGATCAGCAGTCGGCCGAGCTTGGCAAGTTGAATAAATTGCGTGAAACCATTGAGGGGCTTGCCTTTGGCAAGACCATCCCTAAAAATGGGTGCCCTCGTATGAGACCGCACTCAGAGGAACGCCCAAAACCCATTGACTTTTGGATCTACCAAGAAGGTAATCATGGTGAAGGATGGGTCTTACTACAATCCCCATTAAACCACGCAGTAGGCGCACCTAAATGGGTAAATGGGACAATCAAAATCGGCTTTGGGCGTTGTTCAAACAGACCTGAAGTCCTCTATGACTTTCAGAACACTTTGCCCACGAGCAAGTTGGAAGGCCGTGTTCCCACGCGCATTCTGCTTGTGGGGATCGGCACCTTTGGCCAGTAGAAATTCCACGAATTCAGCACCACCGTAGAAGCAAGCGAAGCCCACCGGAGTTGTCGTCCATTCGGCGAAAAAATGGACCAGTAGAGAATCAGACCCCAAGAGCTGTATGCGAGCTCTGCTGAACATCTCGATTGCCTTGAAAATGCCTTGGGCTTCGCAGCACATATTGATGTCAGCCCTTGCATCCAACAAGAGATCTGCGGCCTCGAAGCAGTGCGGATTCGAGCAGGACCACACTGCTAGGTTCGCCAAAGGGTTTGGACTACCCAGAGCTTTGCTTGGAGGGTTCACATCTGCGCGACTCTGAATCAGCTTTGCAATCACTTCACCCGGCGCACACCTGACACAACAGAGAGAGAGCGGGCTGCAATGCAGCGGACCCGAAGTTTCGTTCACCTCAGCCCTGTACTTCAACAGCAACTCCACGGCATCCGCCGTTTTGCACGCACCCAATGGAGAAAATCCATTGTCATCTGTGTGATGGACATTTGCTTTGCACTCCAGCAATTGCAGAATCACTTCTGGCCTTCTCCAGCAAAGCTCCAAAGCAAAGTCCAAAGCTGATCGGCCGTGTTGCAAAATCTCCACATTGATCTTTGCAGTCACCTTTCGGCTCAGGTCAAACCCATCTTCGGCCAACCGCCGAATCATCGACACATCGTTGGATAGGACGGCACACTCTACTGGACCAATGCCTCTGATGCGCTTGGCCGTGTCCAGTGATTCGAACTCAAAGTCCCGCAGAAATGTGTCCAGGCTCCTCCCAGTGGATTTCTCGCCCAGCAAGGTTTCACTCCTTGCAAGAGTAAAGCGATACGAGTCCCAGTGTTGAGCGCTTCTCAGCGCACGGAGCTGGTTCTGCAATGCTCGTCTCATGACCAAGTAAACCTTGGTTAATGCTGACCCCTCTGCAAAAAGTGAACAACTTTTTGTGGGCTTAATGGAAAAAAATGAAATCGACCAAAAGTTAAAGTCTAAAGATCTAACCAATAGCCATCAAGCAACGGTTTGCCGGTCGGCTTTCAGGGTAAAGCGGCCCTCATGGGGCGGGCGATCCGTCAGAATCATGGAAGTCGCAAACTCCACCTGAGTCAAAATCGAAACCTGGTATTAAAATGGTCGACCCAGAACCATGTGAAGAATTAAGAAGGCGGCCGCAGCTATTTATGGTTGGGATTGTCCCTTACTAACCTTCATCTACCCGGGTTTTGACTGTGGCTCACCTCATCACTGCCCTTCACAACCAGGAAAGGCTGGTCGGGCTTCACGCACAAGATGCTGCACCACATCTCCAGGCGGCACCATCCTCGCATCAAATAGCTGCGGAAATTGCACTTCTGCATGGTATCGTGATGATATAGGTGCGGAACGAGCGCCAGAAAAATATCAGAGACCTCCACAAAGAAAGGGATGGACTTGATGTACAAATCTTGATCTGTTGCGCTGGAGACACTGGATCCGCTGAGAAGATGGGCTATGTCGCTTGATGCCGGCGAGTTCGTTCCGTCCGCTGTCAAATTGTCCACGAGAAGCGACCCAGCTAGATCCGCCTCCTGAGGGATGCTGAACCAATCCAGCCAAATATAACCATTCTGCAGCCTTTGAAGTTCCTGCTGCGAAAGCTGTTTGCTCTCACCGAAGAATTGAGAAGCCAAGTCGCTCTGTGCCGTGCAGCGACCCGTCAAAATGTTCTTGAGAGCTGCCTGGCGTTGGGACAACCCCCTGTTTAAGCCGCGATTCAAACCACTGGGGGGGTATCAAATTATGGATAAGGGCGGGCCCTACATAAAGCATGGCAAAAAATGTTCACCCCCCCCCCCACTATTGTTGCAACAGATTCATTCCAACGTTGGATACGCTTTGCAGGGTACCACGGCTCTAGCAAATGTACCGCCTGCCTGGAGAACCGGAAGTTGCCGCAAGTGCGGATCCGGATGTGTTGTACCCAGCCACTGGTGAGACACAAAAATGCAGAAGTGGGTCTCCTGTCGCTTCACCAGCAATCCAGCTTTCATCAACTCTTCATGCTTCGGCATGTGATCCAGCTTCTGGAAATTCTCGATGCTGATGACCCACATTGGAACGAAGGAGGTACTTGCACATGGATTCGGCCGGCTCGGGGCGGCACCCATTGAAACCGGGCGGCGCAGCTGTACAAAAAAAAGAAGAGAGATAATGATACTTTAGGACTCTATAATCTGTCGGCCATCAAGTTCTTGAGCCAACATGTCTTGACGTTCATGAAAGTAGCAAAATAAGGCTGGCTTTGCGACGAACCGAATCCATTGAGCAAGAGTGAAACAAGAAGCCAAGATGCCACAATATCTATATATATATATATATATGTATATCTACATAGTAAATTATACTATACACATGAGTATATAATATAGAAATGTGTGATCGAGATCTGTGGACATGTGTGAACATCGAAGCGACTCTAGAAAGCGATAGAACCGTCATTTAATTGTCAGCTATTGTTGAACCATGGCTTCCATGAATCGCCGAATGGAAAGGAAGAAACCGGTCCCGAGCGCGTCCTAAGCATAGTTCGGTGCACGTATTGCATGGGATGAAGCTGCTATCTAGAACATGCCAAAACACTGGCCTTTGTGATGGGGCTTTCACATCTGGGCATTGAAACTGGACGCCTTTCAAACTCCCACCATTTTGAGGGCAGTTGTAGGTGAATACGGGGTCCTATTGACAATTCGGCGTCCGGAGAAAACGCGTCAGAACCGTACTATATCCATCCACTGTTAGCCTACCTTTTTGCTCGCGTTTGGTCGTATTTGTGGTTTGTCAAAAACACCATGCGGCTAATGTGTTTTTAGGCTTGTAAAGATAGGGTCCAGTACGGCTGCAGTACGGCTGGAGGCAACCGGGGGGAAAACCACATCTACTTCCTCTAGTAGAGAGAATAAGGGTACCCTTCTTTCCGTAGTCTATTTTAGTAGGGGAACCCTCCCAACCAAGAAAGGTGAGAAGGGCACTACTGGGGGACCTGAACATGCTTGAAACCTAGCGGCCACCCCCACTACATCCAGCGCTGCGGCTTTTCAATCCTCGCCGCTTGTCGGGCCAGCGGAGCAGAAAGCCCGCCGCCAGAGACAAGGCGACGCGGCTGAGGCGCAGAAACCGGGACTCCTGACGGCTGTCGGGGACCAAAGGATTGATCAAAAGACAAGGGGTTGTTCTAGGGGTAACTTCCATTTCCATTCTTTGCAGGGATCCTTCTTTCTAGAAAACCGCCAAACACCCTGGGGAAATGGCTGGTTTTTGAAAAGAACGATGGCTGAAAAGGCTGAAAAGAATGGGGAATCAACCCCTAGAGTTGTCTCTAACTAGGGGGCACCCTGAATGGGGCTTTCCATTGATTTCCTTTCAACGCAACCCCCAAAATGGGGGGGTGCTCTTTTTGCAGGTTTCAAAGACCCTGGGAATATGGAGTTCCTGCTGCAAATTGCCGGGCTTATTTGAGAAACGTGGAACAGCACGGGTGGGCTCTCATGGAAAAGCACCCCGTAGGTTTCTTCGTTGTCAAACGGGGTCACAATAGCGTCAGAAAAAGAGCTGCCCCGGCATCCCGTGGTTATAGCAGCACTCACATGGGCCCACAAACACGTACCTGAATTGACGTAGGACAAACTGTTGTGACAGATGGGTAGCTTCCCATTTCACGGCATCTGCTATTCAAACGAGGATACCTTGGGGTCGCGTCTCCTTCAAGCGCCGAGAAACCCACGACGTTGGCGATGGCGAAATGGAACGAGGCTTGACCGCCCCACCGAACGAAAAGGGGGAAGCTGAAGAAGCTGGGGTTGAAACATATGCCAATTGGTGATCCTGGTGCCGGTGCCGGACTGATAAACTTTGACGAATTGATAGAGGATGTGCTTTCCCAAAGGAATTTCCGCCCCCCCCCCTCTATTGCTCAACCAGCAACTGTGCTTGCCTTGCCATGCAGCTTTGTGGAGCTGATTTGCAGTGTAGTCCTGTGACATTCTCAAACAAAAGGCCCTTCGTACGCAGCGGTTTGGCATTGTGGGCGCCAAGCGACCGCGCTCTTAGCAAGTTGATTCCCCAAACCAATCTATCGTAACGGATAGAACACACACACACAATCACTTCCTTTTCCTAGTTGCATCAGGAAGTCTTTAAACGTTCTCGCAGTTTGCTTGTTGGAGCCTTCGAAAACAACATTCCTGAACATTCAAACGTCAAGGAATTCTTTGCAATTCTCGGCCTTGACCCTGTTTTGGACGCAAACGCCCGCAAATTACTGCAAACGCCTTAAAACAGCACAGCGCCCGCAAACAAGGTGCAAACGCCTACCTGGATCCCAAGCAACCGTTTTAGAGGAACCTCCTTTCGGGCTTCAAGTTAATCTGCAGAGTAACATCCATCCTCCGATTCCTGGTGCGTCAGCAAATAGCGTTGCTTTTGGCAGCCAGCCAAAAACAAACACCAACGAAGCAAACACTAAAACACCTGCCGACGCCTGACCTGACTATTCAAGCTGGAACTTCATAGGCCTTGAGTAAACTGACAAAACCCGCCGAAAGCTTAGCCCTTGCCACCTCGGCAAAAGGGAAGAACAGCGTAAATGAGGAAAAGGGAACATGGACCATCGCCAGAGCCAGTCGACGGCGTTTCGTGCCTTGAGGAACCGGGGCGTAGTCCAAAGAACGCGTCCTGGCGCCGCGCTGGGCGCGGCCAGCATCGAAGGCAACCCCTGGATTTTGTCGAAATTCGAGCGAAAGCATTGAAAGTACGGCGCGGTCGGCATCCTGGAAAAACCCAAGTGCGGGTAACAAGGTTTTTTCTGGTTGCCCAGAACGCGGGCAATTCCCTCTAAGATTGGGGCGTGTACTTCAACACTCAACACATGAGTGCGACTGTATAATTGGAAAAAAAGGCATGAAATGGACATCCAGCTGGTGGGGATTTGTGTCCACCTCCCTGTTGAAATTCATAGCCACATGTTCCTGGGAATTTTTCAGAAAACTCTGGCCCAACTTCCGACATTCTTCAAACAACCTCCTTTTAGTCTCCCTCAAAAAAAAATAAAAAAGAGAGCCGAGGGCCGAAAAGTCTGCTTTGAGCAAAAGCTTTGCCACCAAGCCTGCTTCGGTTTTTTTGGGGCGAGGGAGGGGGGTCCGTCCACCTTACTCGGAATCCAGGGGCTCCTGGCCGCGAGCAGCGGAAATTCGGAGCAGCCTGGGCTTTGACGGTTGTCAGCTGCGATGTGATCTGCAATGTTCCTGGAGTCTCCATGACCCTTAAAAAAATGGGTCTATGACCCCTGTATTTTGGGTAATGACCCCTTTATTTTGGGTCATGACCAACCATTTTTCAAGGGTCGTGGAGACTCCAGGTTTACAAGGATTCCGGAGGCCCCCGCCTCGAATAAGAGATCCCCGAGCAAACAAAACCTACCGCATGGTAAGCTCGCGCCTGAAATAAGAGATCCCCAAGCTAAGAAGAAAAAAACAGCTACTGCATGGCGGGCTCGTTTTATCCCTGGCTGATCTGGCAATCAAAAAGGCAGATTGCAAAACCAGTTGACTGCTTCCCCAAGTTGCAGGAGTCCCTCCTAAACGGGAAGCCCCCTGCTACGCAAGGATGGTCCATTAATCCACTGGGTCTATCAAGCCTCGCAGCTTTGAGTAGCGACTGATTGACAGTGCATGAGTTCTTGCATTGTAGCCCTGCGGCCGATGCTTGCATGCTCGAATGCAAGGCCTTTCGTTCGCAGCGATTGGACATTTTTCGTGTGCCAGACGACAATGATCCCTTGATTTTGGGGAATCACCCCATTTTTCGAGACTCCAGGTGAACCTATCGCGATGAATGCCATACAACCACATGTCCTTTTCCCAGTTCTGGGGAGCCGATATGTCTTAAGCATGCTTGGATGTTGCTGATTACAGCCTTCAAACGACAACATACAAATACGTATGTTGAAATTAGCCTGGAACGCGAACAACACCCCTCATATGTTTGCAAACATTGTTGTTTGGTTGCAGGCATCTCATCATGGACACCTTGCAATTTCCCCCGAGGGCAAAGGGTGCTCTTGAGTTTGCAGGACTCCTGACTTCGAGGGCCGCGGGCTGAATCCTTTGCGCTGGTCCAAAAGACCACGGCCAGCTCCTCCACGTTTAGGGCTCGCCCAACGGTAGAAACGGCCATGAAAAAGGCGACAAATACACCCCAACTGAAACTTCAAAGTCGTCAGAAAGGGCCTTGAGCAGAATGCTCAAGGCTAAGAACCCCAGCTTCCATGTTCTTTCCAACTCTTATGGGCTTGCAAAAAACGTTCTCTCTTGCAGCACCCTTCTAAAAATGAGCAAACCGAGACAACTGTGTTTTCCCTCTTTTTAATTGTTTATATATATATATATATTAAACACACAGAAACAAAAAACAACAACACACAAAAAGGGGTGAACAAAAAAGACAAAACAAAACAGGCCAACAACAGCCAAGATGTTGGTGAAAAGCTGAGGTCCGTCGTCGAAACTCCCGCCGCGCGAGTCGCTTCTTTGAGGCTGCGGCAGTCTCCAGCTGAGCGATGCGCTGGGAAGGGCCAGCCACCAAGATCCGATTGGCGTAGTCTGGCAGCTTCGGTTGCTGAATCTGCGAAGCCCTGGTAAAAGTTGTTTGCTTTTTTGGTGGTTTAATGGAAAACCGAATTAGTTGGCAAAAAGTTGAAGTCCCAACATCCAAGCAAAATGCACCAAAGTTCGGCAAGGAGTGACGGAAGCACGAGGTGCTGCAACCAGCGGAACTTCAGAAAACAAAAACAAAAAACAACTCCGATTCCGCTTCCAAAGCCTGAAGTGTGTGCTTTATTGTTGGGGGCACCCCTCGCTCTTGAGGGGTTTTTAAGGGAAACTACAAACAACAACCGCAATAATCCCCAAGCAACGCGCTTGCAGGGTGAGCTGGTTTTTGCGCCCAGTGCCATAAAAAAGGCAGAACAAAACCTAAGACCAGGGGGCGTTCCCAAATGTTCGAAGAAGGCGATTCGTTTGCAAACCATTCGTTTGCTAAATCGAGGCGGAAGGCCGATGCGGGCATCGGCAAAAGTGAGCATGTGGCTTGGAGCAAGCAAAGTTCCTTGGCTTTCGGGTTTGAGGACACTCCCGGGTGGTGACTTTTCCTTGGTCTGTCAGAGGCTGGAAAAGGGTGTAGCCTGTTCCCAGTGAGCAAGCGTCAATTTCATAGTC